GTGTGTGTGTGTGTGTGTGTGTGTGTGTGTGTGTGTGTGTGTGTGTGTGTGCAGAGGCCCCGGCATATGGAATGAGCAGGGAAGGATGGGAGAGAGGGACAGGGAGGAAGGAAGCGGAAACCGTGGCTGTAGAGGTTATCTTGGGATGCCAGGCATCCGTGCGCCAAGACGTCCGTGGAAGGCTTCCCAGAAAACGCTTCGCGCATTTAGCTGGAGGCAGCAAAACCCTGTGTCCGGTGGGCTCCTGCGACCCTGCCTAGGCTAGGCTGGGGACAATGGGGTACGTGTGGGTGGGAGGAGAAGGGTGATGTTGTTGTTCTGCTTGGTGGTCATGGCAACGCTCGGGAGACAGGGCTGTAGAAGCAGCCTCGGCTCTTCCCTCGGGGTTCCTGCCCCTCTCAGGGGAGCAGTGCTTCTCTCTGCTGAAACATGGACACGCAGGGAGAGGGGGGGACAAAACTGGCCTCTCTCAGGAGGGAGGGGCTGCTCTTGGAGCCAGATTTACTGCCCCTTAAGTCAAAACCAAATTCATAGCAAAACCAAAGGCATTTCCCAAGCCTTTCCTCCCATAGGGCAAAACACCCCGCTGCTCCCGTACGTAAGTCAGTCATTCCACGGAGGCAGGAGCTTCTCAGCCTACCCACAGTCCGCCGCACCTGCCAGCACATCTGGCTGTTGTACCAGTACTGTTGCAGAGCAAGGGCTGCTCCTGGGCCAAATGACCTGGACTCACGCCTTACATTGGCACAGTCCCTCTCCCGGGCCTTTGCTTCCTCAGCTGATGGAGATAATAATGGTGTCTCTCCCCTGAAGTGGTTGGGAGGAGTCAATGCATAGCTTCATGACACAGCATCCAGAACAATGCCCGCTTTCCCCAACGTTACTGGACACTGGCTGTGGCTGAATGAACTTGGGAGAAATGGCGCCTTTGCTAGATGTTCCTCTTTGCCTCAGTTTCCCTGCCTGCCATATGATGACAACAGCACACTCGTGGTTGGTGGGAGATGATGGATAAGATGAGCCTGGCATGGTGCCTGGAGTGTGACATGGAGTGTGACAATTGACCACTGTCAATAAGGTCCAGGGTAGACTTGTCCTCAAGATGCCCACAACAGGGCTTATGTGTTTGAGTCTCCTGGGGACCTTGCTGATAGGATGCCAATGTAGACACTTGTGGGTCACAGCTCTGATGTTCTCCTCTATGCCCACTACAGTGAGACACTGTATTTTTCTGTGTGGGGCATGTCAGTAGTGCCTGGTAGTTGGTGGACGCAGAAGCCACGTTTGAAAGAGGCGGCAACACTTTGGTGAGCTTCTCTCACCAGAGGTCAGGTGCCACCTGTTCAATGACCAAGAGTGTACGCCACTGTCACTAAGCACCATGCAAGTGCTTAGCATCAGCAGGGAGCCTGGGAGATGCAACCAAGATGGTGGATGGTATCCAATTCTAGAGAGATTGGGTCGGGGGGATACAAGAACACAATATGCTTACCAAGGACCAAGCAGGTGCTGACTCAGAGCGAGCCTCTAATTCTGCCTGAGGGACTAGGAAAGGGAGAAGAAGCATTGATTGGGAAGGGTTTTCCTAGGTAGAAGAAAGAGGGCAACCGTCAGGTGTGGCGGAACGAACGCTTGGGCTCCGGAATGCCTTGAAAGTGGCGTGGTTGTCTCGTGGCTTCACCCAGCTGTTCTTCCCGCTCCCTGTTGATGCTGTAGTCAACTTTAGCCCTGTCACGGGGAACTCAGAGACCACCCCTGTCCCCCAGTCACACAGGATAGGTTTTAAAGTCATGGCTGCCACGGGCATGGGTTTACAGTCTGCAGTTACAGATCTGCATGTGTGTTAGTCTGGGGCTCCCCCACCCCCGCCCCGCCACCTGTGACCAACCTCTTGGCTATGATTCTGTTTCCTCGTAGCCATCGGAACCCTTTAGTCCGGAAATGTACCGCCAAGCATCTCTCGGCGGTCCTGGAGCAGATCGGTGCGGAGAAGCTTCTCTCAGGCCCTAGAGACAACACAGACATGCTCGTGCACAACCTGGTGAGGCTGGCCCAGGACTCTAACCAAGACACCAGGTAAGGCAGGAGTCGGGACTGGGTGTGGCCAAGAGAACAAGCCACTGGTCAGGTCCTGGGCGCGCAGCTCAGTGTCCTCAGGGTTTAGCAGAGGGACAGTCACATGGATGGAGGCTGGAGCCTTTGCTTCTGGCTGTGTTCTCACTTCCCTCTGGAATTGCGGCCAGCCTGTCCAGGCAGTGGTCAGTGACCACTCTTTTTTTTACCTTCTATTTCCTCTATTCTTTGTGTCCATCTGCCCCAGCTCCAATCTCAGACTATTCAGCTGCTTTTTTTTTTTTTGCAAGAGTGTTTACTGAGAGCTGTTTTTACTAAGTATGGATATGAAAATGAATAGGAAAAATTAAGCCTCTGTGGTGTGGAAGCTTGCCTCCTGGTTGAGAATGATACACAACGAACAATAAATATAATGAACATTTAAGATTATAGATAAGGGACACAGAAATAAAAAACCTAGCAAAATGGAGTGGAAGATTCGGGGGAGAGACTTGAGGCTGAGGCCAGGGAGAACCGTTCAGGGATAAGTTGATGGAGTTAGTTCTCCGAGGATCTGAGCGTGCAATCCAGGCAAAGGAGATAGGATAAAGAGTCCAGGATGGAAACAGCTTGGACAAGGAAAACAATGACCTGGTATGGTCGACAGGCCCAGATCGTGAAGGACCTTGGCGGCCCAGGTAAAAAGCTGAGGCCGTGTGATGGGAGAGTTCTAGAGGGTTTTAAAGTGTGTCGGGGGCTGGCCGTCTCCCAGAGTCAGAGTTGGGGCCCAGTTGATTGCAATTGATCCCACCCTCTTGTTTTCTGGGATGTTATCGCTATGCCTGTGTGAACGTGATGGCGACGGTCTAATGCCTTCATTTCAGAGAATGGGGAGCATGGATCAGGGGACTTAGGCCACCAGGCCCCCCGCTCTAGAGGTCCCATTTCCCCCCAGTCAGTGGAGCTGAGGTGGTGTGTTGGTCATATGAGCTGTCCACACCTCCGTGCTCCCTGGAGAGTTCAAGTACCTGCCCTTCTCCGTCACCACCACATTACAGGGTGTTGCAGGTCCCTTTGTTTCCTGAGTGGGAATCTTCTGGCATAAACCCCAGCACAGCCCTACCACCCACTCTCCAGTGGCCACGCTGGATAACCCAGAGTGCTTCCCCTGAGGACCGCCCTGATGCCTGAGGTGCCGATGACTGGCAATATCCATTCCTTCCTGTTTCCTCCTTCCCTTTGAATGGATCTGAGGGGAGAAAGTGATGCCTCACCATTGTTTCGAGTGTCTTTCTTCCTGATGGCTTTGTTTTCCATGTGACAGCAGACAGATGGCTCTTCCTTTATCCTGGCAGGAGATACTGGAGGCTGGGCCCAGGACATTAGGTCTGTTTTGCAGGCAGAGCCATCAGGATATGGGCAGGGAGGGTTTCAGAGGTATATCGAAGGTGACCTTTGGGTTTTAAACTGAGCATCTGGGTCAATGGTGGTGCCGCTCACTGAAATGAGGAACATTATAGTTCTTGGGGGTTGTCTGTAGCTGTTGAGAGGGATGGAAATCAAGAGCTAATGTCTTCCCAAATCTAATCCCTCAGTGGATGGCACTAACCACGTCTCTTTTTCCTTTATGGTACTCTGGTTTCTGGAGTCACTGGACTTCCTGCTTCTCCCCGACTCTTAGGGCCAGTTCTCCATTCTGCCTAGCATCTGGAGATGGCCTTGGCATGATCTTAGTCCTCTGTCTTAGTTTCACCTCCCATTGCTGTGATAAAATACTCAACACAAACACCTCAAAGGAGAAAAGGGTTTTTTTTTTTTGGGGGGGGAGGGGCTCAAAATTCCAGGTGTGGGGCAGACAGAGCAGTGGGAGCCCAAAGCAGCTAGTCACATTGCACACGCACAGGCAAGAGCACAAAGCAGTGAATTAAGGCATGCATACATGTGCTCAGGCAACTCTGTGGTGATACTTTGTTTGTGCTCTAACAGATAAAGCTTACCCGGAGATAGAGTGTGGGGCTAACCACTAGAGGCCAGGCGGTGGTGGCACGCACCTTTAATCCCAGCACTTGGGATCTCATGCCTTTGATCCCAGTACTTGGGAGGCACATGCCTTTAATCCCAGCACTTGGGATCTCATGCCTTTGATCCCAGTACTTGGGAGGCACATGCCTTTAATCCCAGCACTTGGGAAGAGGAAACAGGAAGTGATATGGCTGGGTAGAGAGAGGCAATAATAAGGTGGGGCAGAGACAGGAGCTCAGCCCTTTTCGGTCTGAGGATTCCTAGAGGTAAGAAGTCTCTCTAGTGGCTGCTCCTTTACTTCTCTGACCTTTCAGCATTTACCCTGATATCTGACTCCGGGTGTTTATTACTAAGACCAATTAGATAGAATTCGCGCTACATGGCGCTCTCCTTTTAGTCAGTCCAGGGCCTATAAAATGGGCCACATTGCAGATGTGACTTCCCATCGCAATGACTCAACGAAGACCAGCCCTCACAGGTGCGCCCACAGGCCAACCTCATCTAGACCATTCCTCTTGAGACTCCCTTTCCCGGTGACTCCAATTATGTCAAGTTGCCGAGGAAAGCTAACCATCACATCCTCCCTTCTCCTCTCCCTGGCTCTCCTGCCACCAGCATCAGATTCATCTAATCCCACCAGGGCACCCATCCCTGGGTGCCACACTCCTGTCTTCAGTGTAAAGTGTCCTCAAGAGAACTTTTTGTGGGCTAGAGAGATGGCTCAGAGGTTAAGAGCACTGGCTACTCTCCCAAAGGTCCTGAGTTCAATTCCCAGCAACCACATGGTGGCTCACAACTGTCTGTAATGAGATCTGGTGCCCTCTTCTGGCCTGCAGGCATACATGCAGGCAGAACACTATACATAATAAATACATCTTTAAGAAAAAAAGAACTTTTTGCTTTTTCCTAAGCCTGCTTCTTGGGTTGTATCCCTCTGTTGTTCAAAGTCACCATTACTTACCAAGTCACCTAAACCACAAAATAGGGATTCTCATTCTTTTTTTTTTTTTTTGGTTTTTCAAGACAGGTTTTCTCTGTGTAACTTTGTGCCTTTCCTAGAACTCCATCTGTAGACCAGGCTGGCCTCGAACTCACAGAGATCCGCCTGGCTCTGCTTCCTGAGTGCTGGGATTCAAGGCCTGTGCCACCACCGCTCTGCGGGATTCTCATTTTTTACTGAACCCCTCCCCGACACATTGTCCTCTCCATCGCAGGGTCTTTGATATTGACACACACACACACACACACACACACACACACACACACACACACACACACACACACACACGTTCTAGTCGGAGGCGAGCCTCTCCCAGTAGCTGGTGCCCAGCCGGTGACTGCCCGGGTTTGTTTTCTACCTGCACATTTGCAAACTCCGTGGTCCCCGCCGCCCGTTGCTCCTCACATGACCTTTGTAATTACAGTTTGTACTGTAGGAGTGATGCTAGGGACTTTTCCTTGCTGGTTGACTGTGGGGTTTATTTTAAGAGGTCCCTTCGGGTGCTGTTCAGAGGATGTTGAGTTAACCCCTGTTTCCCTTAGAAGGGTCATCTCTTGGCACCGAAACCAGAGGAAAAGCAGTGAGAAGTTACACAGAGCATTGGGACGGCTGTGAGACATCAGTTAAGCAAGACTTTGTGTGGAAGGAATGGCCCCACATTTTTTTTGCAAAGCATGAATGCCCCCCAGAGGAAGGAAGAGACCACAATAATGTGACCTTGGCTCCTCTGGCAACCGTCACATGGGGCAGTGACAGTGAACACAGTGGAAACTGCTAGCATTTTCCTGTCCCCGTTTTCCTTGGTGGAAAATAAAGTAGCAATGATGCATTTTATAAACCAGAGCCTTAGGTTGTGTGGAATATGATCGTTCTATTGCTTTCTTCTCCATCTCCAGATGGCTTGGCAGTCCTTGGCGATTTCAGCCCCTGTAGCTGGAGTTTTCTCCAGTCCTGCCTGGCCCACGGTCAGGACAAATCTTTCTCACCTGCCAGTCCAGCAGCCTCTCAGACCCAACCAAGTAAACACAGAGACTTATATTGCTTACAAACTGTATGGCCGTGGCAGGCTTCTTGTTATCTAGTTCTTCTATCTTAAATGAACCCATTTCTATTAATCTATACTTTGCCACATGGCTCGTGGCTTACCAGTATCTTACATGTTGGTACTCATGGCGGCAGCTGGCAGTGTCTCTCTTCAGTCTTCCTGTTCCCAGAATTCTCTTCTCTGCTTGTCCCGCCTATACTTCCTGCCTGGCTACTGGCCAGTCAGCATTTTGTTTATACAGAACGATATCCACAGAAAGCCCCTTTATCAGCCCTTGAACCTGACTATCCTTATCTTATTTTCATTTTGTGGAGTATTTCAGGATTTCATCTCTTGCTTGCTCTGTGATGGTGGCCTCCTAACAGGTCTCCAAGCTCCCAATCTTGCCTCCTCGACACTCACTTCTTGCCAGAGCTAAAACATTTATTTTGTGTGTGTGTGTGTGTGTGTGTGTGTGTGTGTGTGAGAGAGAGAGAGAGAGAGAGAGAGAGAGAGAGAGAGAGAGAGAGATGGGGTGACCATGGAGGTCAAAAAAGAATGAGAAATCCCCTGAAGCTGGAGTTGTGGGCAATGAGACATCTTTATTGCCTGGAGATATGTTGACTAACATGACTATTTGGCCATTTCTTAGCTTCCTGTTGCCTGCAGGCCAAAGCCCAGGCCTTTCACATTGCCCTAAAACACTGGCTTCTTTTGGCCTCATATTCTCCAACCATATCTGGCTGTTGTATCAGACCACGTTGTAGACTTTAGAATGCCCCCTTGCTTCCTAGTCCTATCCTAAGAATGAACTCTCGCTTACCCGTTGAGTCCCAAACCCAAACTCTTTTTGATTCTCTTACCCAGCCAGCACTATTCACCAGGAAGAGCTGGCTGCTCCCTCCTGTACCCTTCCCCAGATTTTTAAGTGTCCCAAACCAGCGGGGGGGAAAAACTTACCAACATTTCTGATAGTCATGCAGCAGGATAGTAAATATTCTGCTATTGGACATATAGCTATATAGCTATTGGGTCTTGGGTATATTGAGTAAATAGCTATAATGGATAGCTGTTAAAACGATACCCATGGGGCTGGAGAGATGGCTTCATGGCTGAGAACTCTCTCCTAGTGAGGAAGGGGGTGGCTGTCCATGGCCAGCGCTGCCAATATTGTCTTGCTTGTGGCTCTGGGGTAAGGTTGTGGACAGGTACCTCTGAGAGTGCTTCCAGAGAACCCAGATTCGATTCCCTGGACCTACATTGCACAGCTTATAACCACCCATCATTCCAGGTGCTCCGATACCCTCTTTTGGACTCTGTGGGTACCTGCACACACATACACCTAGACACATACACATAAATTTTAGAAAATCTTGGGAAAAAAAATGTGCATATGAAGAATATTACATAGCCTGGGAAGATGATTAATAAGAAAGAGAAAAGGCTGTAAGCCAGTTACCCATGTATTCTGCTATCTATTAAAATGTAAATGCATAGGGAAAAAAAAGACTAAGAAAATATATTAAAATTTAATAGTGATTTCCTCTTGGTAATGGCATTATGGATGATGTTTATTCTTTTATGAATCTAATTTTTAACTGGGTAGGGATTGCTTTCCTAATTAGAAGTATGCCAACCTCTCCTGTTATAATTGGGAAAGTTGTATAAAGCTGTAGAGTGGATTTATTGGGCCTTTCCGTGGCTGTTTCTTCATTTATTTTTTTTCCCCCGGTGGCAGGTTTTATGGCCGGAAGATGGTGAATATCTTGATGGCAAATGCGAAGTTTGATGCATTTCTGAAACAGTCCCTCCCGTCTCATGACCTGCGGAAAGTCATGGCGGCCATCAGACAGCGGGTGAGTTACTAGAACTCAAGTGGCCGACAGCCCTCATTGTAGGTGCGGGGAATGAGTTGGGGTTCCAGAACCTTTCGTTTCATCAGGGTTAGGGTTGTGTTTCCTCTTCCCGGTGCCTATACTCAGGTCTGTCCCTGTGCATCTCAAGCTCCCTGGGCCCTCATTCCTTTTTGTCTTGAGTGAAGATCTCGGTCTCTGCCCAGCTACCTCCAGGACTCTAGACTGTGCCTTTGGGGGTGCTCCCAGGTGGAAAGATTATCCATCTTGTTATGCTTTATACTGGAACATCAAGCCACCCCCTTTGGCTTACGTCCTGCGTCTGTTTCTCAAGGGAATACAAGACCATCATGGACTTCCATCTGCCAAGGGCCGCAAGGTGTCCAAGAGTTTGGTGGTGTGTGAGAACGGATTGCCCGGCCAGGAGGGGTATGGCTGTTCTTGTGTCTCTGGGGCCCCATGACCAAAGCTGCCAATGGTATCTTACTTGCCCATGGGGGTTGATTGTGGACTGGGGCATGCTTTAACCTAGTTGGGTTTGTATCCGTAATGATGGATTGTGGGGTACATTCCCTGTCCCACGTCTTAGGCAGAACCAATCCTGGCTTGGCAGCATCTGCCAGAGACGTTGAGTCGGGTAGTCTTGGCTGAGGGGATGTGCCTCTGCGTTGGCCAGGTTCTCCTTAGAAGCTCAGCATCTCCTTGTTCACTTAGATCAACATGTCCTTTAGCCGCTAGGCTGGTCAGCTTGGGACTCGTTCCTAGGCAGAGCTGGGCACAGGCAGACAAAAGACCTTGCTGGAGGGCTGGAGGGTGTGTAATTGGATCAGTTGAAAATGAAGCAGGAATCCTATGCTTGAAATATGAACCCTTCTGCCATGCCCTGTGAGGATCCCAGCAGGCCATAGTGGGATGCCAGGGAAAGCCCTTCCCAGCTCTTCAGTGATGGCCTGTACTCTGGTACTCTGCCTCCCGAGACTGGATCACTTCCCAGCCTCCTCCTCCTCATGCTTTCTTCCCCTGTTACCTTCTGTCTTCACATCTCCTGAGCACCTAGAACTTGCTTGTTGATTCTACAACATGCAGCTTGCCTCTTACCTCCTCCCAGACATTCTCTGACACTGTGGCCCAATATCCTCAGAGTAGACCGCTGTTCCTGTTCTTCATACCTCTGTCTCCCTTATGTTCGTGAGACGCTTAAGGCAAAGACTGTGTATCTCATCTCTGTTCTCAGGACCCAAGCACAGCTCTTGGTTTTCAGGAGGCAAGAATGTGAGATGCGGAAACAAGTGATAGAATGGAGGGTATTGGAACCTGTTGGGTGGGACCTGGGTCTAGAGAAGGGAGTCAGCAACCCTGGCTTCGACCTAAGTGTGGGAAGCAGGAATCCTATGTAGAGCCTTTCTCATGCTGGTTGAACAATCTCGACATGTGATCCAAGTCCTCTCTGTTCCTGGAGGAGTGTAGGAGCCTAGCTAATAAGGGACCAGGCAGATATAGAAGTGTGATGGCCTCCAGAGTCTTGAATCTTCCCTTATTCTTAGGTTACATATACTCTCGCTGGGCTGGTGGCTGGGCTGGGCTTCTCTGTGGTAGAACACTTGTCTAGCTAGCATGCATGAGACCCGGGGGTCCCATCCTCAGCACCCCCTCCCCCAATACTGGCACCAGTCATCTTCTATGACACACTCCACTTATCCTCCCTACCCCCAATTCTTTACATGTCCTTGGAAGGGAGAGGGTAAAACTCAGGAAGAGAGAGCCTTGCTTGTTGCCCTTTGAGGAAAAGAGAAGCCCAGAGTTTCCAAGTACAGTGTCCTCAAAGCAGCATTTAGAAGAGAGGTGGGGTCTGGACAAAGCTGTAGGAGACACCGTTTCTGCCTTACCCAGCAGTGGGACGTGGCTCGGGATGAGAGCTGTGTTCATCCCCTGGGCTCTTCCCCAGGGGTCAGGCCCTGCTTCCGCCTAGGCTTGGCTCCAATGGCCCACGGCTGATGGGACTCCGTTCCTCCATGCGGGGTGGTGTGGAGTTGGCAGAGCAGTTACGGGAGCTGACCAGGCTGCTGGAGGCCAAGGAGTTTCCGGCTCGGATGGAAGGTGTCGGGAAGCTTCTTGAATACTGCAAGGCTAAGCCAGAGCTTATTGCTGCCAACCTCATCCAGGTGAGCACCCACCCCTGTCCTCTGTGATTTCTCCCTGTGGGTTCAATCTGAAGAGCTCTGAACTGGTTTGGAGGGGATGTGTGGAGAGCCTGGCGCTAAGTGCTCACTGTTTTTTTGTTTTTGTTTTTTGTTTTTTTTTTGGTTTTTTGAGACAGGGTTTCTCTGTGTAGCTTTGCGCCTTTCCTGGAACTCACTTGGTAGCCCAGGCTGGCCTCGAACTCACAGAGTTCCCCCAACTGTACCTCCCAAGTGCTGGGATTAAAGGCATGTGCCACCACCGCCTGGCAAGTGCTCACTTTTCATGTGGTCTTTTTTTTTTTTTTTTTTTTTTTTTAAGATTTATTTATTTATTATGTACACAGAAGAGGAAACCAGATCTCATTACAGATGGTTGTGAGCTACCATGTGGGTGCTGGGAATTGAACTCAGGACCTCTGGAAGAGCAGTCAGTGCTCTTAACCTCTGAGTCATCTCTCCAGCCCCTCATATGGTCTTTGTAATGTCGAATGGCTAGTTGGATGTGACTGTGGGGTTGAGCACATCTTTAGAATGCTCAGAGATCCCCCGCTTGGCTTCCATCCCTCTGCCAGAGAGGGTGCCGTTGTCAAGATCGTGGGTCACATCCGGTTAGTTATTTGCATAATACTTGGTATCAGAGCCTGTGGTTGGGCAGCGGCTGGGTCATGAATGATGGACAGGCTGGGTAACAGGCTGAACACACTGGGAGTGATGCTGACAGGCAGGTGGGAACCCAGGCTGAGTCAGGTTCCCTACTAGCTGTGTGGTCTGAAGAGACTCAGTAACCTCTGTGAGCCTTCGTTGTTGATGAGAAAGTGGAGAGTTATAACAGCAACACGGGTTGCTAAGGTCATCAGTGTGAAACGGTGAAGAGGACTTACCCCGATGCTCTGGATGTTTGACATGTGAAGAATGCGCTGTACACATCCGTCCCTCCTTTTTGGCTCGTTCCCCTTCCGAGGAGATAAGCTCTTCTTCATTGGGGATGTGCTAGTACAGGTCGGGGGACCCCTTTCAGGGATGCGGGAGGAAACCCAGCCAACTCCTGCCAAGCCCGAGTGCCCACGGACTCTTTGATTTTTTTTCCCTCAATAGGTCTTTGATACTTTTACCCCAAGGCTTCAGGATTCCAACAAGAAAGTGAACCAGTGGGCATTGGAATCCCTCGCCCAGATGCTTCCCATCCTGAAAGAGAGCATCCATCCCATACTGCTGTCCCTCATCATTGCAGTGGCTGACAACCTCAACTCTAAGAACTCTGGGATTTCCACTGCCGCCTCCACTGTGCTGGACGCCATGATGGACAGTCTGGGTGAGCATCCCACTGTAGTCCCTGTGGGGCTGCGGGAGGCACCGGCACCGGAGCCACCGCACGCATCGTCTTGTGTGTGTGGGTCAGATGAGTGGCAGACAACTCTGGTTGGTTTGTCTGAGGCTGTACAGAGCAGGGGTTGACATTGTAGGGCCCCCACGTTCCTGGCTGGAGGCTTTTTCCATGTTCTGTCTATGTCTTAGTCATTGTTCTATTGCTGTGAAGAGACCACAGCAAACTCTTATACAAGAAAGTAATTGGGGCTGGCTGTTCCAGAGGTTTGTTTAGTACATTATCCCCTCGGTGGGACGCATGGAGGTACACAGGCAGACATGGTGCTGAAGTAGATGAGGCATCTACATCTGGGTCCTCAGAAAGCAGGAAGATACAGACACTGGGACTGGCTTGAACTTTTGAACTCCAAAGCCATCCCCCACTCACACACTTTCTCCATCAAGGCCACACCTACTCCAACAAGGCCACGCCTCCTAATCCCTCTCAAGTAGTACCACCCCCTAATGATCAAGCATTCAAATATATGAGTCTATGGGGCCATTCTTATTCAAACCACCACAGTCTCCCAGGCACTGCATGGTCTGGAATGGAGGTGATGAGAGAGGATTTGGTCTAGCCTCCCTATAGTCGGTCACATGAGGAAAATGACTTCTCAGGGCCACACAGGGCACCACAGTGGTGAGTGAGGAGTGCTTGGCAAGGCCTGTCTGTGCCAGGGGTTGGTGATGGACTGTAAGAGAGGAGCGGAGAATGGAGGAAGAAAGGAAGGTGCAGTGGGCAGCCATCATGAGAAGCAAGAGCATGTCAGATCCTGTGCACTTTGCAGCATCACAACTCAGTTCCCCAATGTCAGGTGGACTCTGGTGCATCTCCATTTCCGTTCCTGGCTAGAAGGTGATATTTAGCATATCCCTATAGGGAAGGGCACGTTTGAAACTTTAGGCGTACTGAGAAAGAAGTACCTTAGTAGGCTTCTGTCTGGGCTTGTGTGAAGGAACTTGGGTCTGAAGATCGCCTTTGCTGTATATCGGATGGGGACAAGGTGGCACCTGGCCTCCACATTCACAGAACGTCTTGGGCGAGACATCCCTGGCACATTCTCCTCTCCTCCCTCCCCATGCCTTGGCCAGAGCCCAGTTCCTGGGCCCGGGACAGCAGGCTGTGTCCTTGGCTAGCACCACCAGGAGGAGTTTCAGTTACAAATCAAAAGCTTGGTCAAGCCCTCCTCTCTCTCCTGAGTTCATAAATATTGTCCATTTCCACATTTCATCGCGGAGGAAATTTATGATTTGCTGAGTTTGTTGCCACGGAACAAACAATACAAATCGAGCCCTAAATTACAGCTTGTTCCCTGAGCTGCTCTGGGTGAGTGAGATTGCTGTTGCCAATAATCAAGGCTCTTGGTAAATCACCACGGGCCCTGGATTTATTGGGAAAACCTACACAAAGCAGAATGGGCTTTAGGTATCGGAGGAGGATGATCACTCATGTCTGGGGAGTGGACTCATTTTAACTCTTCCTCTGCCAAGGGCTTCAGCCTGCTCTTTGCCACTGAGCTAACCTTCCCTAACATGGAAGAGCCTGGCATTCTGGACAACAGAATTTAGTGTCTCCCATAGTTCTAAGAGTCAGATTCTCTCTACCCGAGGATCTGCTGTACTCACCTAGGATGAGTACCCTGGAAAGTGGTAGACCTGGCTGTGGCCTGTGTATTAGTCTGCTTTCGGCTACTACAACAAAGGCTGGGAAGTTTATATATATAAAGAAATTTAAGTCATGCTTCTAGAGGTCCAAGAGCATGGTACCGGTTTCTGATCAGCTTTATTGAAGACCTCACAGTGAATGACATCACACTGGTAGATGATGTCACAGTGGTGGATGGCGTCACACTGGTAGATGATGTCACAACGGTGGACGACATCACACTGGTGGATGATGTCACAGTGGTGGATGACGTCACACTGGTGGATGATGTCACAGTGGTAGATGACATCACACGGGTGGATGACATCACAATGGTAGATGGTGTCACAATGGTAATTGACATCACAATGGTGGATGGTGTCACAATGGTGGATGGTGTCACAGTGGTGGATGGTGTCACAATGGTGGATGACATCACACTGGTGGGTGATGTCACAGTGGTGGATGGTGTCCCAATGGTGGGAGTTCCTGTGGAAGAGATTAGAAGGTCAGACAGGAAGATAGACACCAGGAAGGAAGGTGGCAGTTTTCAGTAAATAAATTGTTTTCGGTTTGAGTGCACAGTTTCAGATCCTAGAACCCACTTCAAGTGGGACATGGAAGCCTGAACGCCCGTAACCCCAGTGCTCCTGTGGAGAAATGGGAGGCAGAGACAGGGAGAATCTTGGGAAGCTCGGTTACCCTGGTGAATGCAGCGGTTAAACCCAGGTCTCAAACAAAGTGGAAGGCAAAGACTGACATCTGAGGTTGCCTCTGACACACACACACGCGCACACATGGGGGGGTGGTTGTTATTTGTTTTTTAAAGAAAATATGTGGAAACTGATTCACTTCTCAAGGCCTGTCTTAATCCCCTCCAAGGGCAGTGCTCCTCATGCCCTCATTACTTTCTGCTAACCTCTACTTCCTGAAAGCCTCGTCACTTTCCAGCATTTCCACGCTGGGGACCAGGCTCCTAACACAGAGACCCGTGGGGACCAGCACATTGCAAGCAGGGTTTTTGCTATGTGGTTCTCCCCGTTGGGGCAAAGTCCTCTTGGATACAGCTGTAAACAGTCCTTCTGGTCCGCCAGGCAGAGACTGATGCAGGGAGAATGATGCCGGTGTGTGTGTGTGTGTGTGTGTGTGTGTGTGTGTGTGTGTGTGTGTGTGTGTCCGTCTTCTCTACTCCTCAGGTCAGCGCTGAGGTTTGAGATGGAATAGTGCTGGCCTCATAGGTCTGAGGGAACCCAATAAATCCCTCGCGAAAGCTCCCGCGGAGCCTACAAGGTGCAGCGTGCTGTCTTGGCTCCGGGTGTGGTGGTGTTTGAGCAGGCGTGGGAATGAGTGTTCTGGGCCAGCTGGGTTTGCTGTGTCACACGCTGCCTCAGTCCCACTAGCAACACAGACTCTGAAGGTGTTTTTGACGATGAAGCGGCAAGCTTAAGGATTTAAGTTAGCGATATGGAGAATTTAATTGCCCCCAGTGAGTGCCAAGGGGAGAACCATGTTGTCCCCAGGAAGGGCTTTAATCAGTCTAGATTGAGGCAAATGTAGTTCAGGGGAGATGGGAGTGAACGTCCCATTGCCCAGAGCTTTGGGTGGTCGCTGCAGAGCCTCGGGCAGTGGAGACAGAAAATGAATATAGTCTTCCCAAACTACTCAGCTAAGCCTGGTAATTCTAGTGGTCCTTTGGACCCCTCTTACAGAGGGGCTGTCTCCACAGCCTGCCTCTCCTTGGCCCTCCCGGGAGATTTTGGGCTCCAGGCTGGAGGTGGCCTGTAAAATGCTGGGCCGTTCTTAAATGGGGAAGGGCCAGAGTGACCGCGCAGCATGCTCCAGTCTGTTTCCTGCTAATTGCGGGGCGGGAGGATCAAGAAGAAGGCCAAGTGAGACTGCTGTCCTCTGGCGACAAGTCCAGATGGCACAGCTAAACGGGGTGGGTGGGGGTGGGACTGCCTTTCCTAGGACGACGCTGAAGATGCTGCTTGATTCTGAAATTCATTGACAGCGTGGTCTCGTCAGCCCCAATCGTGTCTTCCTTGGTTGCCCTGAGGGTTGGTGGCTTGGGTGTGACATTGGCTGATATATCAGGTGTTAGTTGCCGTGGCTGTCCCCTTTGGGTGGACAGGAAGGAGACTGGGCAGCTTGCGGCCTGGCCTCTGCCGGTCATCATCCACTTCCTGCTTCTGATTTCTCTGAACTTGAGGCTCAGTGCCGTTTTCCCTACTAGACACTGAGACGTGATTTCAGGGGAGCGTTTCTGAGGATTAAGGAAGCGCCGGAGCAGACTGGTTGGCCCCATTGGGCTCTGTTACCGTTGGGTTAGGTGGAGGAGATATTTGCCTGATGGAAACCTCAGGCTGCAGACAGCTCTGCCTCCCCCAGATGACCTTGACGTGCTGGTGTCTCATAGCCAAGAGGAGCTCTCAATTTAGCTCTGCCTCTGGCCAGTGCTGGAGAGGCCAGATAAGCTTGGGGTGGGGGTAGGCTCGGATCTGGTTTTGTTGTTTGCTCTCTGACTTTAAGTGTCTGTAAATCATACGACCGGCGTCATGTTGTCAACGGGCTTAGACTCTGCATCCAGATGCCTCTCCAACATATCAAACCCTCAAAAAAAGCCCACAGGTGTCCAAGTTCACCCCGTGAAAAGCCACAAGTGAGTCCAGTTTTGATGTGGACTCTTTCCTTTAGTTCTAGTCAGGGCAGACAGACATTCATGGTCCATACCTGTAATATCAGCATTTTGGGAGGCGGAGACAGGAGGATTAACATGCGTTAGGGCCAATCTGAGTTGTACGTGAGCCCCTGTCTAAAAAATTCAAAGAGAAAGCAAGTAAACAGGAACCAGTTTTCAATGCTCCTTTGTAGCCTTACTAGTTACTTAACATGAAATCTCATTCTTTTCTATAAAAATCATGCTTGTTGGGCCTGGCAGTGGTGGCTCATGGGTTTAACCCTAGCACTCGGGAGGCTGAGGAAGGAGGATCTGGTTCAAGGCCAGCCTGGTCTGCAGAGTGAGTTCCAGAACAGCCAGGGCTACACAGAGCAACCCTGTCTCAAAAAAGACCAAGAAGAAAAAAAAATCATGCTTTTAATTATTGGGAAATAGAAAAATCTGAAGCATTTGAAAGGACTATAATCCACTTATGACAAGTACCAACTCAGAAAAGTGTGTGTGTGTGTGTGTGTGTGTGTGTGTCTGTCTGTCTGTCTGTCTGTCTGTCTGTGTCTATGTGTAGTTTTTTGGGAGCTTTCTACCTCATTTTTTGAGATTGAATCTCTCACTGTGACCTGGAATAACTGCATAGTAAGCCCCCAGGAACTCACCTGTTCCCAACTCCTCAGTGCTGAGATTCTAAGAACACACTGTTATCCTAGGTGTGTGTGTGTGTGTGTGTGTGTGTGTGTGTGTGTGTGTGTGTGTATGTGTGTGTGTGTGTGTGTTCTGGGCATAGAACTCAGGTTGACAAGCTTGTATGTCGAGTCCTTTATCGACTGAACCGTCTCCCCATAGAAGAGTTTTAAAAGGAAAATGTGAAAGCCACGGCATGTGCACAGTGGCTTGATGACCAACTGGGGACAGTCATCACTGTTCAGTAACTGAAGGTACACGGGAGTCCTCCGCGCAGCCCAAACTGGGTGTGGTCATCCGACAGAAGAGGAGGAGGGGGAACGGACCCACCTGCAGAGGTGTATGTACTCCAGGGCAGCCTATGGCTCCAGTGCGCCATCATATGCAAACGCGCATGCTCTGATTTGGTTAAACAGGATGCAAATTCAAATGTGTAATATCACAACTACGTACGCGGCTATGCACAGGAAGGGGTAGGCAGAAACAGGCAGATCTCTGAGAGCCGCACATTAAGAGTCAAAAAAATAAAAACAAGAAAGAAAACTAAAGTGAAGGATGCCCAATGTTAGTAACAGTTTATTTTTCTTTTCCTTTTTTTTTTTTGGTTTTTTTCGAGACAGGGTTTCTCCACGTAGCTTTTCGCCTTTCCTGGAACTCACTTGGTAGTCCAGGCTGTCCTCGAACTCACAGAGATCCGCCTGGCTCTGCCTCCCGAGTGCTGGGATTAAAGGCGTGCGCCACCACTGCCCGGCCTTTTTTTTTTTAAATGACACATACAGTTCTGTGGCTTTCAAGTAGTCTGAGGATAACATGGCCTGGTGGCCTCAGGGCTTCACTAAGTGGGACACCTGGGATAATGCTGGGGTCCCTCTGTCCCTCTGTAGAGAAGGGAGCCTCAGGAGGACAGACAGACTGACCAGCCAGGCCTCTTTTCTTCTCATGCATGACATCTTACATGCTTTTCACTGCATACCAAATCTAGACCTCCTTGTGAGGCAAAAAGAACCCTCTGGAAATGTGGGACTAGCTAATGGAATATTGATGTTAGCCTTTCAAATGTTAAATTCATCATCACAACCACCATCACCTTTTTTTTTTTTTTCAAATGATGCTTGGAACTGAACTCAGAGCCCAAGCACATGCTAGACAAGTATTCTATTGCTGAGTTACCTCAAGCCAGCTCAAGATTTTGGCCTCTTGATTTTTACATTGTAAGAGTTTTAGGGCAATAATAAAACTCATTAGGACAGCAGATACATTATTAATTGTATAATATGGGTGTAATCCTAAATATTAAATCAACTCATCTAAACCTCACGGCAACTCAGAAAGGAGCTAGGATTTGGCCCCGTTTTGTAGATGGGTAAGTTGAGGCATAGAGGGAGTGAGTGGCTCATATAGTGTTACATAGTAAAACATGAAAGAGACAGGATTTAAGCTCAGGCAACTTGAACCCAGAATCTGTACCCCTTTACCTTGCTCCCTTGTCTCATTAAACCCGAGTGTGACCCAGGAAGGCCAGTCTTACAGAGGTGACCAGAACAAGACAAGGCCAAGTGCCCCAGTAAAGTGCTCTGACATTCATAAACAAGCCTGGAAAAACCGTGCCCTGACTCTACAAACATTTACCAAGCACCTGTACACTGCTAGCATTTAGGGAGCACCCGGTGCCCCTGCTGGCTGCCAGAGAAGCATTGCCTGGTTGATTGGCTGGTGGTTCATTCCCAAGGACTCCCCAGGAGCACTTCTTTCTGGCTCTGGAGCACTGTGCCCAGGACCAGGAGCTGGACTGAGCCCGGTGGGGCTTTGCTTTTACTGTGCTACATTGGACCGAGCAGTTATTAAACCTGGGCCCCTAACTTCAGGTGCTTGGCTCTGAGGTCTCCCCTCAACCATGCTAAAGCTGAAATCCCTCTGCAGTCGTGGTGAGTGATAGGACCTTTGAGAGTGGCTTAGGTCAAGGGTTCTGCCCATGAAGGCAGATGAATGCATTGCTGCAGGGTTGGCTCGATATCGCAGGGTGGAATTCTGATGTAAAGGGTTACTTGGCGGCCGGGCGGTGGTGGCGCACGCCTTTAATCCCAGCACTCGGGAGGCAGAG